TGTGCCATTCATCCACCGAGCCCCAAGCCACAGAGACACTGTGCTCGCTGTTGTCAGCATTACTATGACGACAAAACTCTGCTCTGCAAGGCCTGTCACAATCACACGTTTTGAAGTGTGATATATTGCAAAAGTAAATATAGACGATAAGCAACAATATTGAAACTAGTTTATGGCACTGACATAACAATCCTAAAGCAGATTTAAACCACAAAAACTCTTCTAAATCCACATGATTGTTAAAAAGATAAGCTGCAATAAATAAACAGCAGAATGAAACTTTATTAGTTTGCATCTGTAATGAGCTATAGAAGTGATTCATTCAACCTTTTACTGCACAAATCTTATCAATATAACCAAAAATAGCCCAAAACAAGCACAATCAAAGATATCAACCTGGTCCCCATGAGGCATCGGTGGGTCAGTTCATCACCACAGAAGCAGTTTATGAGGAGCTCAGCCCATATTAAATGATCGTTATATCCACAATACAATGTGTGTATCTGTACAGGCCCATGAACATGTGTGTGATATTGGTCACACATGAGAATATCTGTGTTTAAAATGTCATTTTTCATGAGTTCTGTATCTGTTAGTTGTGTGACTGTAGATCAGTGTGTTGTGTGTCACCAGAAAAACAAAAAATGGAAATGATTTTCGTTCCAATTAGAATTTTAACGGCACACACTGAAAGAGAAATGAACTGTTATAATAATTTGTGATTATCTCGAAAAACTATTAATATTTTACTACACAAATGCATAGAATTATAAATAGATAATAATTTTTCTGAGATTTTGAGACACTCCCATTGCTCTAGCTCCATCTTTTGCGGAGTTATGACCAAAAATGCATATTTGACCTTGGTTACCTTGACCTTCAAGTGACCTTGACCGGTTTCAACCTGTAACATCCAGTGTACCCCGGTTGTGTGCCAACTTGTGTGATGATTGGGTGAATATTTTAGCCCACAGATGGTTCAGAAATCGCCGAAATTGCCGATCCTTTATAATGGTGTCACCTTTCAATTGACCCGTGTGACCTCAAATGACCTCAGACTTTTTTTTGTGGCATCTGGCACAAGGGCTTGACCCACGTACCAAATATGGTGACAATGGTCCATAAATGGGGGAACACAGACGCACAGGGTGAACACAAAACCTGGTCAACCCTTCGGGGACCAGGTAATTATACTGTAGTGCAAAGAAAAAGTACACACAAAAGAATATTGTTCAATCATATACAGAACAATAAGTCAATATAGTAATGATCATGACATTTACTTAGGTTAATTAAGGTCTTGCTATATAAAGTGGAGCCATATACTATGTTAAAATGATGTAACTCCTATATCTTTGTGTGCAGGGTTCCTCTCTGTACATCCAGACGCTGCTTTTGTGTCCTTTCTATGTAAATGGTCAGAGCTCAGTGAAGCGTGGACGTCGTGTTTACACTTGGATGGAGCCTTAATGCTATAGAGGTTACGTAACAGGAACATAGGTTTTAGTGTCATAATCGCATGGGGACAGTGGGGACAGTAAGAACAAAATGTAATTAAAAAAGGGACTATGGGATGAACAGAACACTAAAGGAAGATACTCAGTCTAATTGTGTGAGTAAGACTATTTGGGAAATGCAAAAACGGAAAATAAAATAATGTGGGTTTATAGATTTTTGCAACTTAAAGGTTGTATGGAGGATTTTTTTTTTGTTTCAAACTGTCAGTGAAAGATTAAAATATCATTACAGAGACGCAGCAGCTTTGTAATTATGATGACCAAAAAAAAAAAAAAAAGAAAATCTATCAACTGTGGACGTGTTGAGGCCAGATAAACATCAGCCAATAGAAAACGAGGCTCCCTCATTTTCTATTGGCTGTTGAGTTGTCAATCAAACTCCCTAGTATAACTGACTTGTCGGAGCGCGGGGATTACGTGGTTTACGCAGCGGTTCTTAGAGGCTTTTTCGAACTGTCGCTTCCTCGCATTTCACACAAAGTTTGTCGTGACGGCGGACGAGAATCCACGACCGGTTCGCCCAAAAAGAAAGTCAGTTTTTTGAGGTCACTGAAAGAAGAAGAGAAGGGGGAAAAGGAGCAAAGCCAAACTGAGGTGATTCTTGGAGATCTCGTCCAGCGATGGCGCGACCGAAGCAGACGAAGGGTCTAAAAACTGACGCGTCGGTCGCTGAATTACTTCTAAACAAGTCACTTCAACACTAATTCTGAATGCGCACAAGGACTGTCGCTGTATTTCTCTTCCCTTAAAAAAAATCCTCTATACAACCTTTAAGTGTGCATATGGTGTTTTAATAGTATTATCTACTGTGCTGATCTACTGCTTTTTTGGTCATCTTAATGCAAACCAGGTTCTCGACTTCACCAATGGCCACTTGAACATGAAGTATTGATCCCATCACACATGACTGCCCTGATTACAATCTAGTGTTTCTGATTATAACACTTGGCTACAGGGGCAGAGTTTGGAGTGTGGATGGATATCTGTTAGACCAGAGGTGTCCAAACCGAGCCTGGTTCATCAGCCGGTTTCACTTCGTGGAAACCGTCTGACCTCACAGCGTTAGGATTTGTTCACTTGACGGTAGGCGGGTACTTTTTTTAAATTTAACCAATCGCTGCTATTTGGTTGTGACGTATGTAATGCGCCACTAACGGGGGGATAACTCGTATATTAAGCTTTTCCCAAATCCCGTAGGAAGAAGGACAATAACGTCTTTCCCCTTGATAAAATTCACCAAACATTCTCTTTGTTCCAGCTTCAATTCCTCGATCTCGGGAATCGTTGCCAGCACAGAATATAGGTGAGTTTCATTGTTTTGACAAAAGCGCGCGTTGCATGCTGGGAATTATTTTGGTCGGCGGCAATAAACACTAATTCAACATGACGGACGGAGCAAGAAAGCACGTAAAGGGTATTGATCCCGGTTATTTATCCACTCTAACGGCAGAGGACCGAAGATGATTTGACCAGAAATTGGTCATAAGCATCGACGGAGCCAAATCACCCTTTTCAACCCCTACAAAAGCCTGGACCAAACCAAATTTCTGGTTGGAATCACCAACTACCTGGACAAATATTCACTTCGGTGATATCCACAATGACTTGGTGGAAACTCCTGGGCCATTCACAGCAGAAAAGATGAAAACCTCCAAGAGTCTCGATGTGTTGTTGAACTTGTTGGAGTCCACGGTTTGTTAGGATCTTCTACGTTTGCTCTGCGAATGTTTGAAAGCCGTTTAATTCACCGTTAGCGGTTCTTTTCACTCGGAATACGAAAAAGACATTTTCCTGCTTCTATTTGTGCATCCGATAATGAGGCAGGAATTTACCATTATCGGGGATAAATACGCAAGGTTACGCACTGTGTTTGCGCTATCATGTGTCTTGCCTCCGACCAAAATATTTCCCAGCATGCAACGCGGGCTTTTAATAACAATGACGTCAGCTGAAACTCGCCTATATGACTCTTCGCTGTTTAGCTGGTGCCCAAACTCGCACTTCCGGGGTTTTTACGAACTGTCTAGTGCAGGAGTGTCAAACTCATTTTGGTCTGGGGGCCATATCCAACCTACTTTGATCCCAAAGGGGCCGGATCAGAAAACTCATGTCATATAAACCCCAAAAGTAACAATAAGTTAAAATATTTGTGCAGAGAAACGCAAATCTATTAATCGATGAACTCTTTTACAAAATATTATAATATTATGAATAACCTGAAACTTTAAGAAAAATGCAATTTCAACACAATGTTTTAACATTAACTTGTATGCAAATAAGAATAAGTCAGTTTTTCTTGGAGGCGTCCACTGTTCTCATGTTGGACATTTTGTTAATGAGGGTGTCACGGTCAACAGTCAAAACGATCCTCCTTTAAGAGCGTTTGGAAAGAGACAAGTCTTCATTTGTGCTGCTCTGGTGGGAGGGGCCACGTACAGAGACGCTCATGATAAACACCGCAGAAAATTAACAATATTTTAATCGAAAATATAATTAAAATATTTTAGTAGAAAATCAGCCAAGGGCCAGCTTAAAGGTCTTGGAGGGCCGGATCTGGCCCCCGGGCCATATGTTTGACACCTGTGGTCTAGTGTATTCCGATTCCTGACCTAGGACTAGGTGGGGCCAGTCCAGCTAGTCCAAACCATGGCCCAGGAGCAAGATGTGGGCATTTTTGTTGGCCCTCAGGCTTACTGCTCCATTGACCCAAATGACCAAAAGTGCTACTTTTTACTGCAGATTTTGAAAATGTTGTCTGCTGTTATAACATAAATAGCATAAATGTTCCAAGTTTTATTAAAGGTGTTGTAGCTCAGTCAAACCAATGTCAAATGCAACATTTTGAATGATTCACATTATTCTCCTGCAGTCAGTAACATTTCACTCTAGGCCCGTCACAATAAAAAAACTATTTATTCCGTATGACAGATGGAACAATCATTTTTGGGAGTCAGTTTTTATTGTGAGTACTTTTTTTTAAGTAGGAATTTTTCATTACTTTTCCTGCAATATGATAAGATTTAAGCTGAGGAAAATCGAAGTGTCCATTTGCCATTTATTTATAGCAGCTGTACATTTAGAATCCTTTTTGTGAATAATTCAGATTTTTTATGGTTTGGTATGTCATCTATATTTAGTTCAGCAATACATCGCACTTCAAAATATGTTTTTGCGACAGGTCTACCTCACTCGTATAAACTTCTGTGACCCCTGCGTTAGCCCAGTCACACTGTACTTATATATCCAGACTACACTCCTCCTCCGCCCTCACTCTCCCCTTTAGACCTCCAGGTACTGCCCAGTTTCCCATCTGTGTCTGAATGTGGTTCAGTCGCACTTTAAGTCAAGCTTTTGGATTTGGAGTGGGTTTAAGCACACAGTGTAACCACCAGCTTGTCTCTCTGAAGGACCTGTACCTGATTTTTATCCCACGTATTTGAGCAAACTGTCCCGACCTCCCGCACGCGCCTTTACGGATCTTACCGATAACGAGGATGACTTTGGGCCGAGGGCGGGAGGGGTCGAACACCTCGTACTCCTCGATGAGCTCCGCCGTTTCAGACAGGTCGGAGTCGCTCTCGATGGAGAACTGGTTTATGGGAGGCAGTCTGTCGTAGCGTCTGTACGGGAAGTTGGGGCTCTCCGGCATCACTGAGGAGACACAAAGACACAGGACTACATTTATACCATCCTCCAGACCACAACTCACCCTCACGTAACAGATAGTTTACCTTACGACCTCTTGTATATACATAGCTGAGATATATTTGTATTACTATATTTCAATATTTGTTTTTACTTGTACATATACATTTATATAATTATGCCTTATTTGACACCAGTCTGCTATTTTTGCTATTTATTTAGAATTTATTATCACCATTTATATTTTTTCTCTTAGGGCCAATAGTCCACGTGGGCATGTTACATTTCCCTATCAAGTTTAAACTCTCTATATTATGTCCATTTAGTCCAATTTATAGACAGATAAATGTCCTTGTATGTGGCATCGCATCAATATTGAATAAAGCTGAAATACGATCCTCTTTCCACAAATTCTACACGCATTGAACGTCACAATATATTATGAAACTTTTTTGGGGGGGGTTAGTGGGGCATTTACAGATTGCCAGTGCGAGCCTGCTGACAATGGGCTCGCCTAACACGGATTTATTAAAACCGACTGTGAACCCATTGAAGTAAATGTGATCAGTGGTAAAATGGAAACTGCAGACGTATGTGCTGTTTGGAATCATCTTGAATTTGGTGACTCATCTCTTCTGACTGCATGTACACAGGAGGGATGGGCATGATTAGTCGATTCATCGATAACTGATCATTAAGAATTTCATCGATTACGTTCATTTTAATCGACAAACCGAATGTAGATTGCTGTGCGTTGCGTAGTGTGACCAAACAGGTCCGTACATGTGTCTCTCTGCACTCAGAAGGAGCGAGACACAAACAGTCGGTCAGTCTGCAGCGTACCGAAGCACAAATGTGTATTTAACGACGACTTGTACAAGAAATTCCACGCTTTCCGTTGCGTTCGGGACAAGTGTGAGTCCATGTGCACAGTGAACAAAGCAGCACATATGTTTCGGTGTCCAGTGGGAAAAAGCTTTACCAGGTGAGAGTCGCGCAATGTCAATGACGAGTCCCCATCTCCCACTACGGGTACATTACGGTGTCCTGGTTTTGACAAACGCAAATCTGGTCACACTAACCTGTATTCCATTATTGTGCTGCATCAGCGACACAAGAGCTGTTTTTTTTTTCCTTCGCTTAGTTTATGCAAATTAGCGATGCGGTTTTAAGTTTTGTTTTTGTGAGACTTGCACAAAGCTGAATTAAACACATAATAATGTCAAACGGGCTGATGTGGCTCTAGAGTGGTGACGGTTTATATGTCATCAAGTTGAATTATTTATGCAGATTAGTAGAGCAGATAGTGATAATAATTATGATCATTTTAATATAAAAAAAACTTTAATAATTAATCAATAATCAATCATTAATTCTCCCGATGATCGATTAAGAAAATTGAATTGAATGCCCATCCCTAGTTGTAACTGTTGATGAGCCGAACATGATGGAACGCTACGATGACATGTACATTAAGAGGCATTAAAAACGCAACATTCAAATTTTTCGATATTATTTCTCAATTTAATAATGAATTCGGTGTTGCAAATTTGAATGATATTGAACATGAAAGGACAAAAACAACAGTAGAAAAGGCAATCGAAAAAACAAAAGAAAAATTCAGCCACAGATAACAAATGTCAATATCTTGTGCGTCCGCCGTTTGCATCCAATAACTCTTGCACTCGTCGTGGCAGAGAAGTAATAAGCGCGTTGATTTCGGCCACCGGAATCGCGTCCCACTCTTCCAAGAGAGCAGTACGAAGATCTGCGACAGTTGCTGGAAGTGGGATACGACGGCGCACACGGCGATCCAGATTGTCCCAGAGGTGTTCTATCGGATTCATATCTGGAGAATAAGGCCATAACCTGCACGTTGTTTTCGGCCAGACACTCCTGACAGATGCGTGCGATATGCGGACGTTAAAGTTGGCACCAATGGCCTGCTCTCTCTCGTTTGCTGCTAAACGTGGCATGATGACCGTGTGTGACATCTTTCATTTTTCCTCCAGGTTTTTAAAGCCTTCACCAGCTGAGCTCAAATCAAATCATCGAAAGTTTTCAAACAATGTCCTTACGACTCACACATTGAAAAGTAGGGATTGGCACCGTCCGGCACGTTATTTTGTTCTTTGGGCTGAAAGGTGTGGCTCCATTGTTTCATAACCCAAAACAAAACAGTTTTCATGTACAAAGTTTTTTTTATTCAAAATAATTTGGCATTTAATTTTCTTGCATATTTAATACCTCTGAGTGTAGATGAAGAAAACTGGGCCTGTGAAGTTGTAATAGCATCTTTGCAAATGTCTTCCTGGTTTGTGACGCAAGCGTGAATAGAGCTTATAAACACACATGTAAAACACCCCCAGCGTGATGTCACTGCAAAGTAGCAATTCATGATATCAGTAATGAGTTTCACTTTTTAAGAGCTGATGGGAGCCTGGCAGGGACCAAACAGAAAGCTCAGAGGTGTCATGAATGCACGTCTGTTTTATTGGCGACATATTTGCCCAATGCAAATGACTGACGCAGTGTTCATGCAAAAACAGGACAGATTTGCATCGGAGCCACTACCTGATTTGTTTAAGAGAACAAACACAGGAATAACCGGCCTGTGCAGACGAATGGAGCATTTATCCACATTCTCATGGACAAGGATGGCATAACCTGGAATTCTGGAGTGACTCTTGATGAAGCTTGAAATTCATTTATTTTCTCATCTTTTTTTTGTCATTTGGTGCCTTCTAAATTTACCAAAGGTCCTAGCAGAGTTTAATTAAAATCTGTGAAATACTGTTGTTTCTTTTGATGTGTTACCTGGTCATGTGTAAGATTATTTGATTTGATCCTTACCGTTTCTGAAGAGCGACCGTCTGGACTGTCCTCCGTTGAGAGGGGGGAGGGACTTCTTCTCCTGCCCCACGAACGTGTCCCAGCGCACCTTCTCCGTGCCCCCGAGCTCGCGCACCTTCTTCAGGCATGACTCCAGGTACTCGATGGGGTCCTCCGGTCGGTAGTACATCAGCCCCGTCAAGAGGCTCTGCACAAGGGAGAGACAAATGAAAATTTAGACGACAAATGTATGAAGAAGATGTCAAGAGGTCAAATTTTAGAACAGGAAGCCCATGTTACACTATTTTCTTATCTGTTATAATGTGGTTTCCTTCTTAAAAACAAACCTGTAGTTGTGTTTTATTTCATTCATACACAGTGTTGGGAAGGTGACTTTTAAAAACATATTCCCCTACAGATTACACACCCCAAAATGCAGTTTGTAACATAATCCATTAAATTAGTTAAAGTGAATAATGTAATCTGAATACTTTGGAAAGTAGCTCAGATATCTTCACATAAGAAAAAAAGATTTGATTGAAGAGGAGGAGGAGACACGGTCCGCACATGGTTTAGCCCTGTTAAAGTCTGTTTTAGTTCTGTTTTAGACCTGGTTTAGATCTAGTTTATACCTGGTTTAGTCCTGGTTTAGACCTGGTTTTAGACCTGGTTTAGACCTGGTTTTAGACCTGCTTTAGACCTGGTTTTAGTCCTGGTTTAGACCTGGTTTTAGCCCTGGTTTAGATCTGGTTTAGACCTGGTTTAGTCCTGGTTTTAGACCTAGTTTAGACCTGGTTTTAGCCCTGGTTTAGCCTGGTTTTAGACCTGGTTTAGTCCTGGTTTAGTCCTGGTTTAGACCTGGTTTTGGTTTAGTCCTGGTTTAGACCTGGTTTAGACCTGGTTTTAGTCCTGTTTAGTCCTGGTTTAGTCCTGGTTTAGACCTGGTTTAGACCTGGTTTTAGTCCTGGTTTAGTCCTGGTTTTAGTCCTGGTTTAGTCCTGGTTTAGACCTGGTTTACACCTGGTTTAGTCCTGGTTTAGACCTGGTTTAGACCTGGTTTTAGTCCTGGTTTAGTCCTGGTTTAGTCTGGTTTAGTCCTGGTTTAGTCCTGGTTTAGACCTGGTTTTAGTCCTGGTTTAGTCCTGGTTTAGACTGGTTTAGACCTGGTTTTTGGTTTTAGTCCTGGTTTAGACCTGGTTTAGACCTGGTTTTAGTCCTGGTTTAGTCCTGGTTTAGACCTGGTTTTAGTTTTAGTCCTGGTTTAGTCTGGTTTAGACCTGGTTTAGACCTGGTTTAGTCCTGGTTTAGTCCTGGTTTAGACCTGGTTTAGACCTGGTTTAGTCTGGTTTAGTCCTGGTTTTAGACCTGGTTTAGTCCTGGTTTTAGTCCTGGTTTAGACCTGGTTTAGACCTGGTTTTCCTGGTTTAGTCCTGGTTTAGTCCTGGTTTAGACTGGTTTAGACCTGGTTTAGTCCTGGTTTACCTGGTTTTCCTGGTTTAGACCTGGTTTAGACCTGGTTTTAGTCTGGTTTAGTCCTGGTTTAGTCCTGGTTTAGACCTGGTTTAGACCTGGTTTTAGTCCTGGTTTAGTCCTGGTTTAGTCCTGGTTTAGACCTGGTTTAGACCTGGTTTTAGTCCTGGTTTAGTCCTGGTTTAGTCCTGGTTTAGACCTGGTTTAGACCTGGTTTTAGTCCTGGTTTAGTCCTGGTTTAGTCCTGGTTTAGACTGGTTTAGCCTGGTTTTAGACCTGGTTTCCTGGTTTAGACCTGGTTTAGACCTGGTTTTAGACCCTGTTTAGCCCTGGTTTAGACCTGGTTTAGACCTGGTTTTAGTCCTGGTTTAGTCCTGGTTTAGACCTGGTTTTGACTTGATTTTAGTCCTGGTTTAGTCCTGGTTTATTCCTGGTTTAGACCTGGTTTAGACCTGGTTTTAGTCCTGGTTTAGTCCTGGTTTAGACCTGGTTTAGACCTGGTTTTAGTCCTGGTTTAGTCCTGGTTTAGACCTGGTTTAGACCTGGTTTTAGTCCTGGTTTAGTCCTGGTTTAGTCCTGGTTTAGTCCTGGTTTAGACCTGGTTTTACCTGGTTTAGACCTGGTTTAGACCTGTTTTGACTTTTTTAGTCCTGGTTTAGTCCTGGTTTAGACCTGGTTTAACCTGGTTTAGTCCTGGTTTAGACCTGGTTTAACCTGGTTTAGTCCTGGTTTAGACCTGGTTTTAGACCTGTTTAGACCTGTTTAGTGGTTTAGACCTGGTTTAGTCCTGGTTTTCCTGGTTTAGACCTGGTTTTAGTCCTGGTTTAGTCCTGGTTTAGACCTGGTTTTAGACCTGGTTTAGACCTGGTTTTAGTCCTGGTTTAGTCCTGGTTTAGACCTGGTTTAGACCTGGTTTTAGTCCTGGTTTAGTCCTGGTTTAGTCCTGGTTTAGACCTGGTTAGACCTGGTTTTAGTCCTGGTTTACCTGGTTTAGCCTGGTTTAACCTGGTTTAGACCTGGTTTTAGTCCTGGTTTACACCTGGTTTTAGCCCTGGTTTAGACCTGGGTTCAGTCCAGGTTCAATCCTGGTTTAGACCTGGTTTAGTGTCCGATGAGTGGAATTACCAAAAACAAACAAAAAGGGGATATAGCCCTTTGAAAACAGGAAAATACCTCTGTGTAATCCATTTATTTCAACAAAGTAACTGTAATCCAATTACCTCTTATGGAAACAGTAACTGTAACTGAATACAGTTACTCATAATTTGTACTCTGATTACATAACTCAGGTACATGTAATCTGTTACTCCCCAACACTGTTCATACATGTTTAACACAAAAATCCTGCATATTTAGGCGGTAATATGTGGTAAAAGAAAAAGTGCTCCACTGTGTTAAAACTAGGGAGGCAACAATATTCGATATAATATTGAATCGTTCGATACCGGTCTCACGTATTCATTCGATACACGTGTACAGCGATACCATGCGCGCTGTGTTGTCATTTATTTTGGTCCAAAATGAAAACAGATGCAGCAAGAAAACAGCTCCATAGGGACATACAGCTAATATATTCTAACATTTTATCTTTCAGACACTTTTTATTTTGCACTGATAGACAAAGATATGAACTTTTAAATACTTTAGAATCGCTTTTGGCTTTACATCAGCTTTAATCAAATGTGGTCATATACACACACGACACGACTCACAACTCAACAGATCAGATCTTTTTCTCAGATTATTTTATAAGTTTTACTCAGAAAACTTTTTTTGAGATATTTCTATGTAATATAACACAGTTCTAGTGTCCAGAAAGAAGTGTAAGAGCACAGACTGTAGGGGGCAGTGTGGGAGGAGCTGCTGGAGACAGAGACATGTGAACGCCCTGAGACGCAAGAGGAAAAGAAATCATCAAATCATCATCAAAGAAGGAAAAGTCTGATAGTGCAGCTCCCCTACAGTCTATATTAAGAGCAGACGGGTATATTATAAAATATAAAACAGCCTGAGAAAGCTCCGTTCTTATTTTATAAAAGAGAAATGGTTATGTATTTATTTATTGCTCATGCTGTTATTTTGTTGGCATCAATTTCAAGACAACAACAACAACAACAAATCTGACAATTAACATAAATAAACACATATTTCTACCATTATTTGCCTTGTCTTTGCTGCATGAACAAAAGGAACAGGAAAAAGATCAATCTTATAAACCCTGCTCCTTTCACAGATCAAAAAAATTAAACATTTCTTTAATAATCATTCCCGCACCCCAAAGATTAAAACAAGTCACCGATCAATAAGCCCCACACGTTACAAAATCTCACTTGTGCTTTTATTAACTTAAAACATTTTCCTTAGTCACATAGTTATTTTATGCTTGAACATTTTCTTGAATTTTCACTGAATAAAAATTTCAGTGTTGTAAATCATTGAACCAAATGAACTAAAACCCTTCACATATAAACTACAATTGTATAGTAGTTGTACCGTAATATTGTATTGTTTCATTAATATCATAGTGTTATTAAATTATATTCATTAGCATAAAAAAATACATCAGATTTTTTTTTTTTGCGTCTTAAAATGTATCAAAATTGAATCGATATCATGACCCGTGTATCAAGATGCGTATCGAATCATGGGAAAGTTAAAACTCTCAAGAATCCATTTGTGTAATAAATCACCTTTATTGTTAAAAATTAAAACATTCCACAAAAGTTAGACTCAATCATTCAAATAATTTTAGGCTGTAGTTCTCAAGTTTTTATTATACTAACCAAACTCTAACTTTTGATCAGCTTTTATGTAAAAAAAAGTGCAGTTCTTAACCAAAAAATCTAATTATGTCTGAAGGCTAGAAATTTCTTTGTAGGGCTGGATACTATTTGAGTAGTATTTGAGCAGAACAATACCTGGTCTTTCATTCAATACTGCTTATTTTTTGCCAGTACCCTTTCTATTATTAAACATGAATCACTGGAAAGTTCCACAGTAGGGCATTAAACATATTATTAAACTTACTGATTACTTATTGATACAGTAAATAAATAAATAAACAGTTTTGGTCCTAAAACAGACCCCTGGGGGACTCCACAAACAATGCCAAGGTTTTTTTTTGATGTATGTTTTTAAGTATTTGAACTAGGGATGTGCATGATTAATCGATTAATCGATAATTGATCATTAAGAATTTCATCGATTACGTTAATTTTAATTGACAAACCGAATGTAGGTTGCTGTGTGTAGTGTGACCAAACAGGGTCTGTACATGTGTCTCTCTGCACTCAGAAGGAGCGAGACACAAATAGTCGGTCAGTCTGCAACGTAACGAAGCACAAATGTGTATTTAACGATGATTTGTACAAGAAATTCCACACTTTCCGTTGCGTTCGGGACAAGTGTGAGTCCATGTGCACAGTGTAACAAAGCAGCACATATGTTTCTGTGTCCAGTGGGAAAAAGTTTTACCAGGTGAGAGTCGCGCAATGTCGATGACGAGTCTCCACCTCCCGCCCCTGTACGGTGTCCTGGTTTTGACAAACGCAAATCTGGTCACACTAACCTGTATTCCACTGAGTCATGTCTTTTAATCCAACAGAAATTGACCACATCAGCGACACAAGAGCTGTAGTTTTTGCAAATTAGCGATGAGGTTTTAAGTTTCGTTTCTGTGAGAGTTGCGCAAAACTGAATTAAACACATTATAATGTCAAACGGGCTGATGTG